CTTTAGGGAGTTTCATTCATATGTTTGTTTCCCTTTTGACCACGCACCTTGAGCGACTGCCTTTCTTTTGTTTCGTTAAAGGTGTATGTAAAAGTTATTTCTAAAATGGGATTCTCACTGATGGTTTGTTATAGTTAATTATGTGCTTTAGCAGATTTCTCTGGTTATAACCGACTAGTCAAGACGTTTAAGGCATGCTATTAAAGCAGGTAATCAAAAGTTGATGATCTAGAATAAGATTCGAAGGCACAGGTATTCGGGGCCCGATGCCAAGAGTTGGTGCATTATTAACAATATAGATATTCAGAAGCTATTCAACCTCATGAAGTTAACACTGTCTGCGCATCGTAGCCTGGATAAGTAAACATTTATTTATTTACTTTTCCCCTGCTTAAAATTTTCTTCTCCCATCGTCTAATGATGAGTTGTGAGCCCATTTCTTGTATTCCATTTCTGTCGCTTCAACATTTATGAACTGAAGTAGAGATTCACATGTCTGACTTTGGAGCCACGTAAAATTCATACAGCGTTGTGAAGTTCATAAAATTATTTTCTATTTTCTGCACTTCGTCTTGACTGACTATGAGGTTGACTGTTTATGCTATCGTTAGTTGTATAAGTGACGAACGGTTTGTGTTTGTACTTTTGGTTAAAATTAATTTTTATGGTTTTTCTCAATCCTCTGTTACATGAGCAACGGCATGTTGTTCAACGTTAACAGTAACAGAATCCACTGGAACTAGAAGGCATTATTCTGTGAACCATTAGTTTTTAGTCATAAGCATCAAGCGAAGTGGTCTGGCCGATTAGAGTTTGAATTATAACGGTTTCAGTTTTGAAGTTATTCGCTCTTGAATTTTATAACTTTCTGAATTAAGTCAAATTTTATTTTAGATGTGTTTTGCTTCCTCGTAGGATGAAGTTGAGGCAGTTGAAAGTGGTCCTTCTGGGAACTTCAGGTAACTGGTCAGTTGTCTCGTTAACCGATCATGCTGCCTCAGTCAGAAGAGTGCCAGATTGGTAATCAAACGATCATATGTTCGAATGCTGGTCGGGTTACTCCGATTTCATCCGTTCGTTATGTAGAAATGAGTTCCCCTTCGTACGGAAGAAGCAAAAGACTACGGGCTGCGTTGACCTGTTAATTTTAGACATTGCTTTCCAACAATAAGACATTTCTGATTGCTAGTATGACATTAAAGTTCAGCATCACACCATAAGTTTCACGACAGAAGGGTGCTCTAAGTGGCAACCATCATGAAAGCGTGTGCGCAAACATTTTAACTTTTTCCATTTCTCGGTTAGTCGGTTACTGCTGAAGAATCGTTGTGACTGGAAATAATATTGATTAGGGGTTGGAAAATCCGCAATTGCAGCTCGAATTAACAATCTTGGATTCGACGAATATTCTAAGCCGACTATCGGAGCGTCGTTTTCCCAAATAACCGTGTAAGGTGGACTGTTTTTCTTTTTGTCCATATTTCATGTTTTATTATTAGTCTGGTTGACAACCAGTCGGTTTCGCTGTGTGTCTGGGACACAGCTGGGCAGGAACGGTTCCGGGCGATAGTACGCTTAAGTTTGTTTCGTTTTGGAGGTTAATAATTCACACTGCGCTCCTTAGACTCCGCTATATTACCGAAATGCGCGCGTCGCGTTCGTTGTATACGACGTAACGGATGACAGGAGTTTCGTCGACGCTAAATCTTGGGTAGAAGGTAAATTAATGTAGCCTCATTTTGTTACTCTCGTTTCTCTGTACAGAATTACGAACTTCCACCTATGATGCATTGCTGATATACTTAATCGGAAATAAAGTGGATCTATCGCACCAGCGAAAGATTTCAGCGGAGGTTGCGCGAGAATACGCCGAATCGATCGGTGCGTCATTTTGGGAAACATCTGCTCTTGCCAATTCAGGTAGGACTGAGTTGGTTGCGGCCCAAGATCGACTCTGTTCCTGATTGTTCCGGTCGAAATTGCCTTGATACTCGTCGTGTGTAGTTTGATATGCTTGGGCGGAGGTACGCGTGCTATTCCCTATAAGTGCCGCCTTTAGTGAAGGTTAAGTCTGATTGTTTTGCAAGATACTGTAACGCGGACGAGTGACAGCAGACAAAATAATTTACCTTTATCTTTCTTTAAACGCTGGATTTGGTGTCGTATACGAATTACACTTTTAAAGTAAGAATTTTCAATTCTGTGTGCCACATGTAAAGTTCTTCCTTTGTAGCATTAGTGTGAAGTCGAAAATCATTGTTGGAGTTGTACATCTATAAGCTAAGTCGCATCAGAGTAAATATGATGCTTCCAAACAGCTGTGACGTGAGACAAAACGTTTTCATCGGGATACGCTTCCTGTTTCACACAGATAAATTTCATGAGAAACATTGTCCAACCTCTCGTCCAAGTCATGAGGATCAAGCAACGGGACGTAAGGGAATGCATGGCAGGGCGAAGTAGGATGAAGTATATTCTCTCCATCTGCTATGGTGTCCAGCCGTAGACATTTCTCATGATCGCTGAAACGGACAGCTAACGTAACTCTGGTAAAGCCGTTTCGGACCAATCACCCACTCAGTGGATAAATTTTTTATTTGGACCGTACAGAATTTGTAATTTGCGTTTGTGGCAGACCCTGAAATCTTAGTGTCATCGCATATGAACGTGGAAAAACTGCAGAACTTAGAAAAATACGTTTCATTGCAAAATGTCGAATGCTGTTTCGTTCATGGAACGTACAGACATTAATAAGACCTGGATATATGCGCGCTTCTACATATCGCATGCTAGTCTAAGATTCTTTGATTCAGTGCCATTTCTTGAATACAGCCTTCTTCTCTTTAACTGCCAATTATACTTCTGATTTCCACCAGGAAGTTCTTTTCTGACCTCCAGGCGGCAGACCAGCCCGTTTAAATCCGCAGCATTCAGCGGCAGCCTCGAGTATGCCGCTCTTAAAGAGTTCCCACTCGATTTCCACATTAGTGGTCATTATTGCCATCTGTTCAAACCGTCGTGCGATGTTGTTTGCAAATTTCGCTTTCGTGACCACCGAGGATAATATTCTCCATTTTGTTCTCTGGTTGCTTCTGCCATCAATTTTAGTATGGTACTCCATCTGTTACAGCGTAGTGTGCCAACAATAAGGTGGTGATCAATTGGCTGTTCTGTGCATCACTTAACGCGAATGTTCATTAGAAACGTCGTAAGTCAGACAATACGATCAACAACTTCTGAACACAATCTTGCCTGTATCAGGTATACTGATGCACTCAAAGAAGGTGTTCATAATGGACAGTCAGTTGTTGGCACAAAACTGCAACAATTTCATGCTGTTACTGTTGAGATCGCTAGAGTCGTTCTTTCCAGTCGTGTTTTTCCACTTTTCAGTGTCTACTCTAACATATATATTAAGTCCCTCTTGTGCGTATGGAAAGTATGCTGTAAATGCCAGCCACCTTAGACAGAAAAATCAGAAACTATTGTTATTATTTATGCTTGAAGAAGAAGAGCCATCACAGCATTATTGTATATGAGGTAAAGCGTGTATTTTGTTATTTACAGTGCGCTCAGGGATGTTATGTACGATACATTTTACAAATCAGTGCAACGGATGCACACGCTTTTTAGCTTGCAGGTGTCTATCAATTTATTACATATGGGAAATTTCATTTTTTCAATCATCGGCAGATTATTTTTATAGCTGTAAATGACCAGTGGTTCTTCGAAGGAAATTTTTCTAGCATTCGCTGAGCAGAGGAGCAATAAATTTTTTTACAAATTTTAATAATTAACTTCAGTTTTGTAGTAAATTGATTCGTGACCTAACCAGTTGAACGACATGAGTGACTGTTGTCAATTAGTTGGACAGTACAGTGACAGATGTTACGTTTCTCCGGTCTTTGTAACCTTTCCGATTACGTGACTTCGTTTCTGTTTCAGGAATAAATGAAATGCTGGAACACGTAGCTCGGGCTCTAATACAAGATGCTGCTAAGAAAATTTCTGATCCTCAGGTCTTCAGCCTTAACAGGGACGAACCCTGCAGTTGGTCACTACGCATATATTCATGTTTTGGACTGAACTGGTTGAAGCAGATGCTTTCATCTCGATAACTACGATGGTCTTTTTACCAGTTACTAGGGTCAGACATCATTAAGATATCAAGCGTTGTTGACTGGGGGCAGCACGACATTTCAAGCTTTGTTTGACATTGAACGACAAAGAAGATAATGGCAACGTGATTTACTAGCTCTAATTGTGATTTGTACATATGTTTGATTATGATGGTTTGCCAACGATCATTGTTTTACGACTGCGCGATAACCGCCTTGATTTGCATTTAGCCGAAGCTTAGCGACTTAAGTTATCAGAAATGGATTCGTCATTACGGTAGCTTTCCTGCTTTTATGAGTTTTTCTGTTGTGTTTAATCTAATTCGTGGGTTATCTATTGTGTTTATGAAAGGCAGGCTGTCACGTGTATAAAATCACCAACATAATCGTTTGTTGGTAAATTATGGCGCGATTATCCTGCGCATAGTATCATCACCGGTTTTATCAAGTCGTTGGCATGCTGTTGGTTTTTTGACTGGTTTCGTATAAGTACAAATTGCAATTTCTTTGCTAAACGAAGTTTGCAGTTAATAACAAAATTCATATCGCGTCTAATGATCGAGCTCCATTTCTTTCGCATTTATTGTCGATACTACTATAGTCAGCCACTGCCTTGGTACAAGTTAACTCATGCAGTCTAACGTTAAAAATGTGCGAAAAATGTATTTCGCTGTGACTTTATACTTTGGCGTTCGAAAATTTATTTTATGATGTTCATTTATCCTTTTTCTGTGTCCAGAATATACTTCGCAGGCTCCGTCAATGAAGTAAATTATTAAACATTTTTTACTTTTAAGAGGAACTTATGCTTATGAATATATTCTTGGCATTCGATATATTTTTTATGTTCCTGCGAAACCATGTAAAACATCGGCTCCCAAAATGTCATTAATAATATGAAACGTTTTTCTCAGCAGTGGCAGAAATATCAAGTGCAACTGTATATCAGGTGATAAAAAATTATGTAACTATACTCTTGAATGGCCACCTAAGCCTAAGCTATGGTTTGGTGTCATAGAGCCATGTAACTTGATTTATTATGCTCAGTTATGCTTTTTTACATATTACCGACAATCGAATAAATATCGTTGATGCTACTGCGATGACATCTAACCAAATAACAATTAACGGCTCCTGAAATGAGCAAAGTTGAAAGTATGAATTGTTTTATTCAATAAAAACAATGTTAAATGTACTGAAGCAATGCAGGTGTGGTAAAAGCGATGGGACCATGATTTGCTTAAGATACCCCCAACTGTGTTCTAAAAGTTAAGGACATTGCAGTAGTGTCGTATAAGCAGAATGGAATGGAACTAAGCATGTTAGACGTCCTCCGCGTTAGGACTTCACTTTGATGTCATTTGAAACAAATGATGTTTCCTTTTGAATTATTAATGATCAGCAAGATATTGTCAATGAAAATGATGCAGTGTAGGTGTTCAGATGTGATCTTTTGGTCTGCTAAAACGGTTCCTTATTCATCTAGCAGCAAGATGGTGGAGCAATAACGCCAGCAGAATGATAGAGTGGGTTTTTGCTTATTAATGTATTATCACTGTACATTCGGCATGAAAAGAAGAAGTTGCACGCTCTGCGTGGATTGTTACATTATAATTGAGACAATCTTAATATTTTCCATGGTTGCGCTTTAAAAAAATTTAAAAAGTTTCGCAAAAGGCGGTTTCCGCGTTCCTGATTATCATTCTAGACGGGCAAGAGTATGAGAACGTTTCATGGAAGTCTTCTAATGAAGAAGTGGTTTAAATTTGAATATCTTCATCTTCCATGGCCCCTTTTCCTTTCGGATCACGGAGGCAGTCGCGTTAGACAGCTTCCAACTTTCCCGATTCTGTGACAGAGCTTGAGCTTCGGCAGAAGACAAGTAGAGTTTGGAACAGACTCCTTCCATATATTTGCACAACGTTCATCTTGGCCGTCCGTCTCGTGGGCCTTCTGCCGGTCGGATTCACAAGAAAATGTTGCTTAGCCTTCCTTTCTGGAGCCACTCGCCACACATGCCCAAACCATTGCAGCTGTGGCTTTTCACTCTGGAGAGGCAGAGGCTGTTCACCAAGGCTCTCGCGGATGTCTATATTCCGGACCATGTCGAAACGCGTATGACCAGCGACTCGTCTCAGAAAGCCCATTTCAGCAGCTTTTACCAGGGTTCGAAGCTTCGTCCACGACTCATGGCCGTAGGTAAGCATGGAGATAAAGATCGACTTGAACATCGAGAGCTTAGTTTTTAGACTGACCTCTGCTTTGGTCACAGTAGATCGGGCTAGTTGATGCAGAACGCCACTGGCTACTCCAATTCGTCGGTCGATCTCTTCCTCAAACTTTCCATCACTAGTGAACACGACTTCGAGGTACTTGAACTTCTCCACTTGATCCATTGTCTTTCCGTTAATCTGAAGGGAACAATGGGCAGGACAACAAGAAAGCAGTAAGCTTTTCGTTTTAAATACGTTCACACGCATGCCGGTCATGTCGCACTCGGCTGCGAAGCTTTCTAAGGAGCACTGGAGATCAGTTTCAGAAAATGCCCATTATACAGGGTCGTCTGCAAACACCAACCTTCTCGTCTTTACATCTCCTACACCAATCTGGTCATCGCCTTGGCTGCTCCTGACTATTCATAGCGAACGTTGAATGGTTTCGTCTTAACGCCATTTACT